TCAGTGCAAGCTCCTGCAGATAAAACTGGTGAAAGGTTAATGGATTTAAATGATTAAGCTAGTAACTGAAATTGAACCACAGCTGTACAAGTCTGTACAGCTACAGACTTCATACTTCCACCATCTTCTGGTGCTCCTGGACACATTATCAGAGATGTAACCTGGGGCCATCAGGTGTTTCAGGTCTTTCACCATCAGACACCCTCGCCCAGACGACCAAGCCAGGGTTGATCAACACCACCCCACCCACGGCTCGCCTCTCCTGATCAACAGCCACCTCTAGCCTCAGCCGACTTCACGGCCCTTCGCCTGCTGGCCCCAGTGATGCCCTTCTACCACCTCAATGTACTTTAACCTCTTCCTCTCATTGGTCTCCTCAATGCAGTCTTCTCAAGGGACTAAGCTGCAGGAGGATAAACTGCTTGGAGGCTTTTGAAAACAGAACCACATCCGGCCTTAACGTTGTTATAGCAACAGTGTCTGGAAACTTCAGTTGTTTGCCCAGATCAACTTTCAGCTCCCAGTCTTGTGTTGCTGCTAACAGGCCAGAGGAAGAGGTCCCGGCAGCTGAGGTTAGCTCCTCCCTAGCCCTGACAAAGGCCATAGCCTTTTCCATTGGGTGGAGGCTCTTGCCATGGCTAGTCCCGCTACAGATGGTATCAGTGACAGCCTTTAACACTTGGTCAGCAAATATGAATTTGCCCAAAGCAGGACTAATCTCTGCAGAACTGCTTTAATCAAACAGTAATCCTAAAACTCACCATCAAACACACACCAGAAGCTACTGGAGCTGCTGAGAGCAAATACATCTGTCCTAACATCCATGCCTGATTTTTTTATGTAAGCCCACAGACCAGAAAAAGACTCTCCAGCACTGCGGCAAAGGAGGATGGATAACATGCACAAAAATGTGGCTTAATCCATATCCATGTGTTTGAACGATCTGCTAAGCCCTGAACTTAGGAGCACAGCCTAACCTCTCACTTTAAGGTGGTGCATCTGAAACCTGTTAAAGCTTTGAGCACAGCTTGAGGTTTTTAGGTGGAGATATTCATTCAGTCAGTAACTGACTGCCATGAACCTGCAAACAGAGTCCCCTGCAGACCTCCCTTTTTCATGTTATTAACCCAGGACACGACCCCAAGTCCTCCCAAACAGCCTGCAGGTACCTTTACATGTCACTCTACTGAGAAAGTTTTAGACACCAGTACACTTTGGCTCTTTGAGGAAGTGTTGAGTTCGGTCTGAAACAACCCATAGAGGCTGTGTCAGGACTCAGCCTGCCCAGTGTTTGATTGTTTGCTGTTGTGTTTGTTGTGTCTTGTTGTTTTTCTTTTCTTCTCTCTCTCCTCTATCCACTCACCCCAACCAGTCGAGGCAGGAGGCCGCCCACTGGGGTCTGTCAGAGGTTTCTTCCGTTAAAGGGAGTTTTTCCTCCTCGCTGTCGCCAAGTGCTGCTCAAGGGGGATTTGTTGGGTTTTTCCTCTATAATAATAATAAAAGTAGGGTCTAGACTTTATTTTGTAAAGTGTCCTGAGACGACGTTGGCTGTGATTTGGTGCTATACAAATAAAATTGAATTGAACTGGCCAGAAGACTGGTCAGCTGTGGTTTCTCCTTCATGTTTCTAATGGTGATTGTCACACCAGCAGACTGAACTAGACACTTGACTGTAACTCAGAGCCTGCAGCCTCCATCAACTCTTAGTCAAATACAAACAGAGCTTCAGGGGAGAGCGGCGTCTGGACCA